AGGATAGTGCCAGGGCACTGGCAGGGTTGGTACCCAGCCCCCGCTGTGCAGCTGCTGCTGGGGCGGTGCTGACACCCCTCGGGGTACCCCCAGGGCACTGCAGCGGGTGGGGCTGAGATGCTGCCAGCACAGGAGCAGCGCCAGGGGGATGTCCGGGTGTTACTGCTCTGGCAAGGAACTGTGAGGACACTACTAAGGTAGTAGCTCTGTCTGCCATTACAACACTGCTAGGATCCTATCAGCACACTGCTCATCCTACTGAGACACTACCAGGGCACTGTCTGGAGGTAACTAGGTGCTGTTGGGACGCTCCTGACACAGTTCTGGGTTACTACGACCCGCGCGCCGCCGGGGCCGTGCTGAGCCGTGTGGAGCTGCTGCTGGGATACTCTCAGTGTAGCACAGAGGTGCTGTCAGGACAGGGCTCAGATGTTACCAGAGTGCTGCCTGGAGCCTCCAAAGATACCACTGACACACTTCCACAGTACTACAGAGACACTTACGGGGCTATGACTAGGATACTACCAAGACAGTATCCGGGTACTCCTATGATACTACCAGGACAGTTTCACGACGCTGTGAAGACAGGGCTCATTTTTTATTCAGGTGCTGTCAGGATCTTAGTAGAATATCAATAGGTCGCTTCTGAAGTACTACAAAGGCATTAGGAAAGATAGTGGTAAGATACTCCTGGGATACTATCAGGATAACACTCAAAATTTTGGGAACTGTCAGCCCGTTATTGATATTAGTGTGATACTTTCAGGCCACTACAAAGATAATAATACAGTATAAGGATACTACTAAGATGCTACCAGTTAGTGAAAAATCATTATGATACTTTTTATATACTGTCAGGTTAGGAGTAAGATACTTTCAGGCTGCTCTCAACACTTTATTGCTACTAGTAAATTTCTAGTGGTGTTGTGTCAGGATCTCAGCGTGTTTCTACAGCACCAAGACGCTTTGAAGGCAGTGCTAAGATGCTGTGGGGAGACTCCTAGGATACTACAGGGCTACTGTTGTGTAGTAGCCCTGGCTGGAGGGTTTCAGCTGGCACGGTGGCTGTGAGGGGAGGGTGGAGCCCTGGTGTGGTAACCTGTGAGCAGCCCGCTGCCTCCCCTCTCCCCGCAGCTAAAGCGTCGCGGCGGCGTCGAGGAGGATGGAGGCGCCTCTCGTAAGCCTGGAGGAGGAGTTCGAGGAGGGGCCCGGGGAGGATGGGGGGACCCCACAACGCCCCCCGGACCCGGCGCTGGCCGAGCTGGAGAGTTTCTCCGCCGAGATGATGAGCTTCAAGTCGATGGAGGACCTGGTGCAGGAGTTCGACGAGAAGCTCACCGTCTGCTTCCGCAACTACGACGCGGCCACCGAGGGGCTGGCGCCCGTGCGGGGCCGGCTGCAGGCGCAGGAGGAGGAGGAGCGCCTGCAGGACGAGGAGTGAGTAAGGCCCTGCCCCCACCCCC